TCCCGTTGACACAATAAGCCACTACCATGTCGACCAATGGCCCATATGTCATCCATGGACACCATAAGCCACTACCATGTCGACCAATGGCCCATATGTTATCCATGGACACAATTAGCCACTACCATGTCGACCAAGCAACCATATGTCATCCCATTGACACAATAAGTCGACCAATGGCCCATATGTCATCCATGGACACAATAAGCCACTACCATGTCAACCAATGGCCCATATGTCATCCATGGACACAATAAGCCACTACCATGTCAACCAATGACCCATATGTCATCCATGGACACCATAAGCCACTACCATGTCCACCAATGGCCCATATGTCATCCATGGACACAATAAGCCACTACCATGTCGACCAATGGCCCATATGTCATCCATGGAGACCATAAGCCACTACCATGTTGACCAATGGCCCATATGTCATCCATGGACACAATAAGCCACTACCATATATATATATATATATATATATATATATATATATATATATATATATATATATATATATATATATTGACATGACCCGTACATCTTTTGTATATAAATTTCGGTTTAAACAGAAAAGCATAAAGATGTATAGTTTATCAATGTTTAGTCATCGTATTTAATTTTAAGTTAAAATTATACTATGAACACATTGTTAGTCTATGTTATTTCTTGATGTTATTTATATGTATATACCCTACCTATCAATCTGTAACTACTTTAAATAAATTTGAATTAGTAAATATTTAGCGGTAATTAGCACAATTCGAATTTTTTATTAGCAGAGATTCAAAGTATTTCACAATTCGTTTCCCTCCAACCTACACACGTTTATGCTGTATATTAGGGTAAGTTTACGGATTAGAAATAGGGTTTACATTTTCTGTAATCATCATCTCCGGCGGCTAATTGATCGAAATCTTCGTTCATTGTACGTTGGTGTACTGACTTGGGCGATATAGGTTGTCACTCATCTAAAATTTATTTTTATTTAATTTTCTGTTGTCGTGATGATCGATCGTTTTTTGTTCTCTGATCATCTTAATGTAAATTGGTTTTGATTGTATTCAATAGGTTGCATGCAAAGTAATGCCTTCATATATAATTTATTTTTATTGTTTGTGTCTGAAAGATGTCGACCTCGAAAGCAAAAGGAGCATCCGGTGTAAAGCCAACTAAATTCATCGCACCACAAGTTATGAAACGCAACAAGATTTATGCTGCAAAATTCATAAACAGACAGTTACAAGATGAAGAAATCGACTTCCCAATACCAACAACCACATCCAAAGCACCTATAACATCTACCAACAAAACCCCTAAACCTATATCTAAACCATCCTCAACACCAACACCCACTACCACATCATCAACACCTATATCTACTACCACAACCTTAAAACCTGCATCTACACTACCATCCTCCACAACTACAATAACTACTACACCCTCCTTAAGTAAAGGAACTACCACATCCTCAACATATACATCTATCCCAACACCTACCCCAGAATATACCCCATCAACAACACCTATCCCAGAATCTACCCCATCAACAACACCTATCCCAGAATCTACCCCATCACCAACACAACCAACCATGAATGGATCTGTAGTGCAAAGGGTAGAAGGTGACAAAAATTCCTCTGAAGATTGTGGAACAGATGGACGTTTAAATGTTCATGTTTGGAAAAATACGTGAGTTACCATTTAAATCTTAATTACAACTTTTTCTATGTATTAAATTTTGGTTTACACCTACATATCAATTCATAACTTAACACATCACATGATTACTTGCAGGCTAATGCCACCAGGCCCTTATGCACACTTTATTAGTCAGTTCTTTAAACAAAGAGTAGATCCAGAAGGGTACGATTGGGCACAAGTAAGCAAAGAAATGCGCGAATTATATTGGGAGGAGTTTCAGGTAATTAACTATAAGTGATAAATTTTTGTTTGGTAAACATTTACCCTTCAACTTATGTTTATATTGTTAATGTGTAAAAAAAATGTTGTTGGGATGAAACAATAGACTCGCTGGTGAGGCAAGCTTGGGCAAGGAAAGCGGCACAAAGTTATGGTCAATATCTCTTCAACATAACAAAAAGAAACAAACATGGCTTTAAACCAGCTCGTATTCTACAGGAAGTCTGGAACTCCTGGCAATTAAAATGGAATACAGAAGAATACAAGCTAAAATCTGAGCAGAACAAGAAAAATAGGTGTAACGGTGTGGCAGATGTAGTAGCAAAACCTACATATAATGCTGGATCCGCATGTCATTTGAAGATAACTTCTGATTTGGTAATTTTTTAAATGGTACATCGTATCAATGTTTGCATATGTTTATCTGTATATTTGACTTTTTATATGGTATTTATGCAGAAGAGGAAATTAGGACATGAGCCACCCCATAGTGAATTGTTCTTGTATACACACACTAAGAATCATGATGGAGTCACTTTCACAAAATGAAAAAGATAGACAAATTCATGTAATATTCATTTCATTTTAAATTAACTTTTATATTGTAGCTACTCCATAATATCATTCCTAAATCTGATATCTTTTAACTTATAATATTTTAATTTTGTAGGCGGCCTATACAGAAAAACGGGAAGAGTTGGAAGCTGAAGGTGTTGAATTTGAGGAGGACAAGCTATTTTATGCTATAGTTGGTGGTCATGATAAAAAAGAAGACTTTATGGATTAGGCTCTTTTGCAAAGGCGGTTCCAAATAGGAATGGTAAAACGGATGTATCTTACATTCCGGAAAAAAATGATGAAATAGAAGAAATGAGGGATCTTGTTGCTAAACAAAAACAGCAAAACGAAGAGCTTAAAGAAATGATGAACGCCCAATAAGAGGAAAACAAAGCAAGGGTCGGACATCTTGAAAAACAACTTCAAACGACATTGGATCTTATTAATGTCTTTACAAAACAACAAGAGAAGGAAGTTGATATATGTTTATTGAGGATTATGTATTTTAGAGTAACAACTTTCTTTTTTCCATGTAATAAATAATTATTTTGTTATTTTATGATATAATGGTTATGATTTTTTTGTTTGTTTGTTTTTTTTTCATATATTACTACAAAATTATTTGGGTATAACTTATAAATCAATTATCCATCGGTCCATATTGAATTTGGTATATAATATATACACCAGTAAAATTGCTAGGGATTCATAACCACGTAATTTGCTAGGAAGTGATCAAACGGAATTTGCTAGGGATTCATGACCACAGAATTTGCTAGGAGATCATCAAACGGAATTTGCTAGGGATTCAGCACGACGGAATTTGCTACGGAATCACCACCACGGAATGTACTAGGGAATGACCACCATGGAATTACTAGGGAATGACCACCACAGAATTTACTAGGGAATCACCACCACAGAATTTGCTATGGATTCATCACCATAGAATTTGCTAGGGAATGACCACCACATAATTTGCTACGGAATCACCACCACGGACTTTGCTAGGGAATCACCACCACGTAATTTGTGATGGAATAACTACCACAGATTGTGCGATGGAATCCTACTACGGAATACACGACGGAATACCACTTACCACAGATTTCATTCCGTTGTCACATTTGTGACAGAATTATCTTTTCCGTTGCAAACCCTCGCTACAGCGTTTTTAGGGACGGAAATAGGTCGTTGCAAATTCCGTCCCTAATCGTCATTTGCAACGGAATTTCAGCTTTTAGCAACGGATTCCTTTCGTAGCAAAATCACGTTTTTCTTGTAGTGATTAGAGAGAGCTTTAATTTTCCGGGAGACAAGGGAGACCTTTCATAATCAGGTCTCATAGTTGGTCCGTACGGGGGACAAGGGCCTCAGATCCGACAATGGTCGGATGCGCTGATTGGACGATTGTGTGCTTCTCTACGTTAGAGCTTGTGATTGATTCATATCGTAATGATCTGAGTATCACCTTTGTCATTTTGATCCGTTGCCTTTTTTCGCAAGGCGATAGTGTTCGTTGGAAAGTAGTTAGCCATGTTGGCTTGCTAGCAACAAGTGAATGCCTGCAAGCGTGGAGCTTGGTTGCTTGCCGGCTGCTGGGAAAAATGGAGAAGTTTGAGCGACCTGGCGGTCGCCAAGGTATCTTGTTGAAGGATGACCTGGTATTCCTTGGTGTGCGCCAAGTAGTACGTTATCTCATACGGTATTCAATATTCACTTGAATCTTCTTAGGCCGTCATGAGTACTCTCCATGCTAAGGGGAATGCATTGCTTCTAGTTCAGCCACCATGCACCATCAGAGTACTTTGCACTTATATTGAAGAAAAGAGAAAAAAGAGAAGAAGCCCACCATCACGATCGTTGTCATTTTGGTGCTAACCACAATCCACCACGACAATGTTGCACGGATGGTCGGGTTGGTGCTTGTGTGCTGGTGGTCCATGCCAAGCTGGACAATGAAGCCCTCCGTTGAGAATACTCCAGAGGGCATTAGAACCTCCATGGCATCCAATTGATTTTATTTTGACACACATCTCCAGACAAAAATATATATTTCACGTAAACAAATGAGTTGCTAGCTCAAAATATGATTTCGGGTTGGACAATTAAAACATGTGGTAGACATTATGCATAATTTTGAAATAGTACAACCGTAATTTAGCCTATAATAACATAAAGGAAAAAAAAAATTAACAATTTGACAATAACAAATTGATTTATTCTATCCATAAGCCACCAAATCGGGTGGAGATAGAAATTCTGCAAGCTAAAATAGGCCAATCTTTTATATATTAACTTGAGGTGACGTTGACTTAATTACAATAAAATTACATCTAAATCTCTCTACCTCTCCCCCGTTAATCATAAGAAAGAATCTGTTGCTTCAGGTCGGAAGATGGCTTCCATAATCTGATGTATTTTCAGTTGATTACTTCATGTTCTTGTGATTAGATTTCGGTTCTTTTAATAACTGCTATGACAGTGAAGGGAAGTAAGCAGCCGAAGTGATGGATATCCAAAGTACAAGCTCAGATTCTACTATGAGCTATCAGCAGCAGCAGCAGAAGAGAACTGCCATTTTAATTGTTGAGCCACCAATGCAACCACCACTGAATCTACCTCGATCAGATCTAATTACAGGTAGTTTCTTAAAAACCTTGTAAATTCACCACCAAATCTTCTTTATTCGTGATTTCCATTGTTAATTTGATCCGAAAGTTGAGACGGTGGTACAAGTAACACACATTTTGAGTTTTTTTACCAAAACATAGTTACTCGAAAATATATTTACCAATAGATAGTAGTTTCAAAACTATTTACCAAACAATAGTAAAATACATAATTTTTATATTAAAATGATTAAATAAACTAAAATGGCCCCACAGATCCTGCTTCTATCTTCTTTCTTCCTGTTCCCTCCTCGTCGTCTCTTCTGATTGCCAAAGATCAGTTTTGCCGTTAAGCTGCAGGAAGCACAGGAAGAAAAATTTATATGTGAAATCCCCAAGTGATATGACGATCCATCTTCACGTTTCATATTCGACTCACAATTAATCTCTAGGTCTTTGATACCTCGACCTATCCGGATTTAAACACACATAAACTCGTTTGTACAAAAAAATCAATCAAAACACACCCATAAACATGTGTGTTGAAATCCGATGACCTGTTTATGTGGGAACGAACCAGGAGTGGCAGAAGGAGATGTAAAGAAGACGTTGTAGAATCCATGATCGCCGGAAATTGTTTGGTTTCTAAGAGTTTAAATTTACAACAGTACATTGGAGATGCCATCATCGGAGATGGAAAGAAGACGTTGGAGATGACATCATTGGAGATGGAAATAATTAAGGCCCATAGTAGTCTTATTATCTTTTTCTCAATGAGTTTACAACAGTACATGATGGGATCTTGCAATTCCGAACAAATGGTTTACAGAAGAGAGATTCATCATCTTTGTCGGCGACCTTTAATCGTAGTAACAACGAGCAATTCTTTTTTAAGCCGGTGAAATAGCCGCTGACCGCACATGGATTTGGAATGGCTGGTAGGAAGAGCATGGACTTTGACTTGCTGGGGAGGAGAGTGCAGGTGGGCCGGGGTGGGTCGTCGCCATTAGAAATGTAGGTCCTTTTGGAGCTTTTTTACCTAAACGTAGTTTAGGTAAAAAATATTGTAGTTTCAATTTTAAATACCATACCATGGTAATCTTGTAGACCCCAACATTTTATATTTAGTTTTTACTATATTTTAGTAAAAACAATTATCTTTTTAGTTTTTATTATATTTTAGTAAATATATTCTAGAATACAACGTTTTGGTAAATATTTTTTCAAACTGCTATCCTGTTGTTATAAACTCCACACATTTTAGTTCTGATAGGTTTTATAATCTCTTTATGTGATATTTCATTAAACTCAACTTGATTTTTCTTTTTTTGGGTACTTTTCTCTGTTAGTGCTTGTTGCAATCTCTACCTTGTATAGAGCACTCCCGTTGCTTCTGATAACCTTTTTGTTTTGATTATGCCAAAAGTGGTAAACCATGTCATCCAACCTGTACCATATGAAAGTCAATTTCCTTTCTTTTGCCTCGAGTTTTCGTCTTTCTAAGTCCTTGATATTGATGTAAAAAACACAACCAAAAACTTTGAAATGACTATGTGAGACCTCCGTGTTGGACCCATTTTGATCGACTAATGTTCATAATAATAATAAACATGAGGTTTACTAGTATAAACAAGATGAACAAAGAGATGAATAATATGTTGATTGATAGATAGACGAGTAAAATATTATAATGAAGAACAATTGGGCTGGGGAAAATTTTCCAGCCCCTCTCTCTAACTAGAACCAGACTACATTTTTGTACACACTAAAAAAATGGCTACTCCATCTCTATTTTTAAAGGAAAGATGGGAATTTTAAATATACAAAGGGATTATTCTTATCTATCTATCACTCAACATTGTAGAATATTTCTCACTCTAACAATCTCCCTAAATGATTGGAATGATGAGGGATACAAATATAGTGATCAGGCTAAAATATATAATACCTGGAAAGTAGGTGCGGTGTTGAATGTTGAGATATCTTTAAAACTCTTAAACGTCTATGATCCTTGAATCTGGGTTATGGAATATCATAGTCGAAAGTCTTCTAAGAACTTTCTTTGATACTGAAGAGTGAGATCCAATTCTACAAAGTTGATTAGTGAACCAGACCGAAGAAGTTCAAAATACTTCCAAAAAGTATTGATCTAAAGATCCCCAAATCAAATCACACATTGATTTTAAAGTATGAAGTGTCTCTTCTTCCTCAAATCACAAAAATCACTAATAATCTTAAAAATAAGAACCTGATGAAAGTATGAAACATCCAACAATAGAGTATGAGTAATAAACAATTTGGATTGGACCAATCTAGCGACGCCAAAAATTTGATCCATGGTGACCAAAAATCATTATTACAGTGCATAACTAAATAAATCATAGTCTTCAAGATTCTTAAATATCTAAACTCAAACAACATATAAATCATATCTGGATGCTCATTACATTCTCCTTTGTTTTTGATCGATAATGTAATAAAGATCAAGAATAAATAAATAGGACAAGAGAACCTCAGATAATAGGAGATTTGCATGCTCACCTAAATGTACGAAGGGTCTCGGTAAAACACAAGAAGGAAATTAAAATAAATACTTTCAAGGGATGTGTGGTCGGTTGATTATGCTACTGGATTGTTTAATAAATATAGATAATACCTAAGAAAATGTTGCTGATAATATCACTATTATATTGAAGAACTGATGATGACCAACACTGCTAATCTGGGACATTCAAAGGCGACTGCTGATGTGCTATGTTGTTGCCGATGAGCAAAATTTTAGTTGATAAGCAAACGTTGCTGATAAGTATCGATGCTGACATATCATATTGCTGATGAGCAAACGTTTTTTAGTATACAAAGCTGCTGAGAAGTGAAAAACATTGTTGATGGAAGCCATTACTGATGCATATTAGGTCTAATGATGCGTATCAGACCTTATGGTGCATACTTTTACACTGTGGATGTGTACACTGTTGATCCGAAAGATAATGATTTGAAAAGTGCTTGTCCTTTGGCTGCTGATGAAAATATCTTGATTAAGTAAGTAGCCATTAAAAGAATTAAAAAAATCTCATATCAGCATGGAATAAGTAAATTTGAAATCTAAAGCTTGAATTCGAAAATGTATATAGGTTGATGAAGTTCCGTGAATATAAGCATAATTGAGCTCCCTATTAAAATTAATAATATAAAGTAGTTCTAATCCTTAAGAAGGAAACATCAGACAAATGTGAAATATGGATAAATATAGGTTTAAAAAAATTGGTTTTAAATAAAAGAAATTACTCTATAAAAAATAATGGGTTAAAAATTTGTTAAAGGGTAAGGAATGGTAAATGATTGTTAAAGAGAATAAATGGTACTAAAAAATTAATTGGTCTAAAAGAAAGGAGTGTTGGAGGCTTGATGTCTGCATAACATGGGTTCATGGGTAATTGGGTTGGGTGAGCTGCTGACTGCTAACACAGAAGGGAATTAACCTCGTTGAGGAGATTGGCACATCATCAAAGAAAAGTGACAGTTTATTTTCGTGTGGTATGCGGATGATGTGGCATGAGAGGATAGGGTACAAGGGTAGGCCTTGCTAGAGCTGATGTGGAATTGAATGTCAATAAGTAAGGTGGAGTGTGGTTGTTTGAGTGTGACGTTGGGTAAAGAAATAAAGATAGAAAGGTGGTAAGGTTTAGGAGAGAGAAAATGGTAGGTGATAATGGAGGTGTTTGTCTCTAGCAACAATGTCGAGCTCAGTTGTAGCTATTTATCACGCTTGAGAGAGTAGTGTCGTACATGCCATGCTGCCACATTAGGTCTACACCGAGAGTGTCGAGGTCATGCAAATCTCATTCTGGGAGAGCTGGGGTGTGGTTTACATTCACCAAGCGAGGAGATCAACTAATATAAGTTATCCCCCAAACAAGGACATAAATTAATTAATGTTCCATTCGACTAGAAAATTCAACAATAACATGCGTAAATCAGACCATGTGTATGGCTTCACACCATGTACTTCTAACCGATGTTTTAAAAAGCAATTTTTTAGTTGAATCGGTCTGGTGGGTAGTTCCTGCTTCGACCAAAGGTTCAAACGCCGATTCAACAAAAAATTTCTACATCCGACGGTGGTGTGCGTTGGCCATCCAAGTTGTGTACACTCCGAAAATGTTAAATTTTCTTTCGAAATTGGTTGTTTTTTAACGGCTAGGTGAAATTCAACTATATAAGTCCAATAAACTGGTTCAAACGTTTTTTTACCTGTTCTATAACTTCGATTCAACGTGGTTTTTGAAGAAACTATTCGATTTAATCCGATCTAAAAATTCACATAAAACCGATCGTTATTAAATCGCTCTCGTCACCGGTTCCCTGACCAACCACATTTCAAACATTTCAAAACCTCTTTTAAAGCATTGCTTTGAACATAACAATTTGTATAATTACTTTTCATATACTTTTGTCTTTTTCTATAACACAAATATATAAGGACTATCATCAATAAAATAAATCAACAAAAAACAACTTTTTCTTCATCTTCAATAACAAAAAGAATACTTTTAAGATCTTGAAACCGCAACAAAAAATAAATGAACAAAAACAAGGTTTATTTTGGACATATCTAATCAACAAAAAAATCAGAAAACTCATCAAAAAATTTTAGTTGCGAATCTGAAATTTTTTATCATAAAAATTAAAAAGACTTCATGAAAAATAGCCAATTAAGACAGTTCTTCATATAAAAAATGGGTATAGCTCTAATACCAATTGCTGGACCCATTTTGACTGGCTAATAAGGGGAATAATAATAAACGTAAAGTTCACTGGTATAAAAATGATGAATAAAGAGATGAGTAATGTGTTGATCAATAAAGAGATACGTAAAATATTACAATGAACGACACTTGGGTTGGGAAAAATTTCCCTGCCAATCTCTCTAGCTTGAAAAAGACTACATTGTTGTGCATACTAAACAAATGAAAACTCTCTCTCTCTATTTATAGGAGATAGGGAATCTTACAAACATAAAAGGAATATTCTAACCTAGATTTTACTCAACATTATAGAGCATTTCGTGCTTCAACACTCCCGACCTTACCATTCCACTTTTAGAATTCTAAACCTTATTAGGGATAGAGGAACCCTGTTGATTAAGTATGTTGATGTACTAATTTCATCTATGCATAACAACTTGGCTAACCTTGCATGTAGTTTTATGCTCTTTCTGTTTAATTCAGTGTACGATTTATCCTCTGAGTCTCACTATTCTGCTTCCATTTCATGGAGCATTTTTAGAATCCAAATCCCATATTCAATATAGTAACAAATGAATTCTTTTTGGTTGTACTTAAGCCGTTATCTTACTTGAAACACTTATCTTTTATATGCGCTTGATTTTCCATAACATCTTTCTATTCTTGAAGGTGTAAAATACTTTAGATTTGTTGTCCAATAAATAAATACAAACTCTCCTTACTCCTACTAAACAAAATGAAGTTGGATGGTAAACATCTAAATGAACTAACTCAAACTTCATGGTCTTGGGTGGTTGACATATCATTGGAAAAGTTACTTTCTTCTATTTTCCAATGTCACATGGCTCACAAAATTCAACTTTCACACTCTTCAAATATGACATCTTACCTTTAGAGGCTAGTGTCTTCATCCTTTTCACCCATATGCCCAAGTCGTTGGTTCTATAAAATGGATGCCCCTACTTCTTCTACTACAGTTTTGCTTCATTTTGAATAACCTCTACCATGTAAAGTGTACTGTTTCTATCCCTTACCAACGACCATATTTCCCTCTATATCCTTCCATAAATAATCACCAAAGTAACATGGTGACCCTTACCAACAATTTTCCCTCCTTATATTCACATTCTTTTTAGATCCATATTGTACTTGACATTCTCTTGAATTTCAGCTCGTTCCTAAAGTTCGCTTGAAGACAAAATCCTAGAGACCCGTGTTATTCTAGACTTTCGTTATCTTATAGCTAAATCTTTCTACTATAATGCTGAAATTATGTATTTTAATTCTCGAATGACTACAATGAAACTATGAGCTAGAATCCATTATGCAATATTCTATTGAGTTTTTGACACAAAAAATAAGTGCATCTTTATCAAAGTGTGTTGCCACGTCTATCTCCCTTTTTTCCTTTATATGTTAAGAGTCCTCGAACTGATTTCAGAAGTGACCACCTCCATGCAATCCCAACAAGTAATGTCCTTCATATTCTATGACTGAAATCTCATTCTTGATTTTGATCTTCCTCTACCACCAACTCCTCTGTTGGTTTTTCTCCCTTGACTTCTATGCTCAAAATACTAATGGGTACTTCCCCAATATTCCTTCTTTTAATTTCCTTACCAAAGGATAAGAACGTGAATGCCTTCACATATGAAGTTAGTAGTTCAATATGAATTACTTTCTATTATCACATTACTAGACCAACTTTCAGGTAGATGGTAGATGGGATAATAATAACAATGCTTAGAATGCATCCTTGAGTTTAATATCAACCAAAACCAACCATGATATTAATTCAATTCATTTAGATGATTTTCGGTAAGCCGCCTAACTGTCGATAAAAAAAAAGCTTATTCGATATTGAGGGTGTTTTTCATACATATTGATAACATCTTTATCAGGCTATAAACAATCTTCTCATTAATAATATTGTAAGCTACATTATTTTCTATTGATAATTTTGCCACGCTAAGAACCTGGCGATATAGTAGATTCGAATTTTTCATGCTTCATCGCTTTTGGTTTCTTTTTTTGCCAAGGGTTCGTGTAACTTCTTCTAATACAGATAGTATTTGATTTGCATTTTATAGAACATAAGATTGCAACCTTGAAACTTTTCAATCATAACCTTAACATCTTCACCCGTAGATCTCATACCATTTATAAGGGTTTAAGCAGTTTAACAAATTAGAGACGAATCAACATACAATGTAATAATGCAAACAAAAACAAAGAAAACTATTTAATGTGGTTCACACAATTACATCTATCAGCTACATCCACCGGCAAAAAAAATGAGAGAGAGAGAGAGAGAGAGAGAGAGAGAGAGAGAGAGAGAGAGAGAGAGAGAGAGAGAGAGAGAGAGAGAGAGAGAGAGAGAGAGAGAGATTTTGTTGATACTAGAAAATTTCTTTGCTTAGGTTACATGAATTCAACGGATCTATTTATGGTAAGTTGATCTAAAATATTCCAATAAGGCAAAACCTAAAATTCTGAAGAATCTGGCCCATGACTGATTTTGATATCAAATTTGATAAAGAGCTAGCTCAAAAAAGTTTCTCCTAGCATGCTGCCCCTTGACCCCAACCCGCTCATTCGAGAGCGATGTCACATGCTTAGTCTGTTAAACAAATTAATATGAGGCCAAAATGAAAATCAAACTCCACGACACAACAATGACTTAGTCCTAGCTACTGAAATAGTTACCGTAATCACCTGGCACGTCTACAAGTAAGTTATAATGATACAATGATGTATACAATGTGGCAGTGGCTAAGTTTTTAGTTAACGTGGAATTTAATAGTATACTTTGAACATGTTTCTTCTTAAAAAAGAATATATGCTTGATCTTCATCACAAGGTGTTTTTGAAAGGAGGAAGGAACCTATGGAAAATTTTATTAGAAAATGCATGTTAAAGTATAAATGCTAAAAGCAAGAAATATCAATATATTTTCATTTATATGTTTATTATCACTTTGTACTTCTTCCAATTTCGTTATTGTAGTTAACTATAACAATGCTATCTAGATAAAAAAACAATTTGAATACTTAAGTTAAGTAGAATGCTATTCCTTACATTTAGCCCTAATAATATAAACATGAAAGGTAATCTCAGGCACTTTGGTCTTAGTGGCAGCAACAAAATGACACCCTCAATAACTAAATTTGTGCTTATAAACTAAATTGCCTAAACATGATAATGCATAAAATACCAATTGCTTTGAAATGACTACATGATGAAAAAATGAACATCTTGATTTATATTATACGTCCACCCAGTTGTTCACCTTCTTATGGCAATGTGGGGAAAGAAATATGAGAGGCAAAGAAATAGGAGAGGCAAAGGATGACGGGGGCGGCTCTTATATACTGATAGTGGGGTTTCTTTCTTACTTGGCCTTATAAACTTAGGCCTCTAAAATTCATTGAGGGCCTTATAATTTATTTAGCATATACTTTTCTAATTGTTTGGAAGTTATTGCACGCCTCGCCCCTATTTTCTCAAAAGGTGGATCTGTAATGTTCTCATATAGCTATAATGCTAATTAATTGCTTTTGTAATTGCTTAACTTGAAGGAAGTAGAGAAGACTACATCGAGATTGGTGTTCCACTTTATGAAGCATCAATCAAAGGAGACTGGACTACTGCTGAAGCAATTCTATTCAGACAACCAGAACTCGTACGGTTTGCCATCACTGAAAATTATGAGACACCACTTCACATTGCAGCATCAGCGGAAAGCACCAAATCCGTGGAAGAGTTTGTCCAAAACCTAGTAAATATGATGGAAGCAAAAGATTTAGAACTACAAAATAAAAGTTACAACACTGCTTTCTATTTAGCAGCTGCAGCAGAAAATCTGGAAACGGCAAGGATAATGGCTTCAAAAAACCCATTGGTATTTGAAATCCCTGGTAGTCAAAGATTAATGCCACTCTATGTGGCTGCTTTACATGCAAAACCCAAAATGGTGAGATATCTCTATACGATTTCTAACAGAATGTCCAGTGATTATTGGAATATTGAGAATCGGGGTTGGGTTCTACAAAAATGTGTTGATGCTGAAATCTTTGGTATGTATACAGTTTTTATAAACTCTTTTTATTTATCATGTTTCACTCTTGGGCTAAATTCAAGAAACTACAACGTAATTTCATTTCTTTCTTTCTTAGTTTATTATAGCAATCCCACTTTCCCCGCATAAGTTGCCTAATGGTTTGGATGGGAGGATCCATAAGAGAGGTGAAGTGGGCATCATCTTTACTCCTCCATGGACATATTGATTTTATCTATCTCATGTTCGGTGTGGGTTGGTGTACACTTGTATACCTTTTTTATGCATTCTAATTTCATTTAATTGTATTATAGCATTTTACTTTCAATATTATCCTTATTAAGGCCATCACCTTTGAAAATTTTACCCGATAATAGCATTGTAGCCTCAACTGTTATTCTTAGCAATACAAAATCATACATATTTTGATGAAATAGCTATAAGTGGATACATTTTTCAGAATACTATCTTGTAATAGGAAGAAATGAAAGTAGGATGCTATGATAAACAAATCAATGAAAGTATGTTGCCATTTCTTTCCTTTAACCTTTGTCTTTTTTTTTCTGTTCAATATAAGTCTTGTGTATATATTCCATCTTTAGAAGTAGATATTTTTGGGTCACACTGTTTTCTTTTATATATATATATATATATATATATATATATATATATATATATATATATATATATATATATATATATGTATATCATCAAGTCAACATAAAATCTTTGCAGATGTTGCATTGCAAATAGTGAATGATCGCCCTGAACTCTGCGCCAAGAATAATTTACTCACAGATGTACTCTTGCTTTTGGCTAAGAAGACTCATGCATTTAAACACAGAAAACCACATATTGTCTTGAGAATCATCAACTCATGTAAGTAAACATTTTACTTTTAATCAAGGGCTTCGACCTTTTTTGTTTCTTTTTTAGCTATTTTTTTTTCCTTTTGACCCATTAGGCCATTACAGATAAAGTATAACGAAATTGATTAATAACTACAAGTGGGTTGAAAATGCGATTGCCAATTAAAGAAGTTTGTGTCTCCCTCCTTGTTCGGTCTTTGATGGGACTAAAAATTATAATTTTTGTCCTACTGACATGAGTCCACTGTCCGGTGCTAACGAAGTGTAGTACAAGGTCGTTTAATGTCATGTATAAGAAATGGACCCTTAATAGAGAGCTTAATACATTAATTTTATTGATAGTTTGTGGTTTGATGGTCTTCTTAGTTGTTGCTCTTAGCTTTTGCAGTTTTTCATGTGCACGGGGGTCATGCGGAAGAGGAAAGTGACGCCCATCAATTATTAAGTGAACTTTGGAGAAGAATTGTAATAATGCCCAAGAAAGAGATTGATGCTATAATTCGTGGGCCACCTAGCGAAGTTAAACGCAAGGAAGGTATAGTGAAAATTTAATATGGAAGATAAATGACAAAGGGCAAAGTATATTTCACATAGCTATTAAAATGACAAAGGGCAAAGTATATTTCACATAGCTATTAAAGGCCGCCACGCAAACATCTATAATTTGCTATATGAGATTGGATCCATGAAAGATATGATAACTCCTATTAAAGACAAAAATGGCAATAATATGTTGCATTTAGTTTCCAAAAGTGCTAAGCCGAAACGACTTCAGGATGTGTCGGGAATTGCTCTACAAATGCAACGAGAGTTATTATGGTTCAATGTAAGTCTTTCCTTTCATGATTATGAATGATCTTTCTTTCTTTATATGCCCGTACTATCAACTTTGATGCCAACATTTTATTATATCTAATAGCTTTGGTGTTTTATCTTTTTAACTCAACAACTTAATAAGGATAAGACTTTTAATCTTGTAAACTATATATGAGTGTTTTCTTTTTGTAATTTATATAAAACGAACGAAATAACATTTAAGGTTAGATCCTAAGGGTTCCCCTATTAAGTAATAACTTCTTATATATGTTCCTGTGTTGGTGTTAGTCTTCCGTTTTTCCAAGCGTGGTATCATTCTCTGAATATGATTTTAAACAGCTTTTGTCGAAACAACACTTTATCGTATCTTTCATACATTTGAGATTTAAATTACTAAACTAAGGAAAAAATATGTTTCATTCTGGAAGGGCTGTCGTATTTGAGAATAAATCACTAACTTACGCCCAAAGAAACAATATTTGAGCATTAATGAAAAAGGACAAGTTCGTAGAAATAGCAACAAATATTTCTTCTTTTATCAATATATACAATGTGCTCACATTTATTTACCCATAATAGGCTTAATAGCAATGCACCCATATTTATTTATTCATAATAAAGCAATATGTAACTCATAATTGCGGCATACTTTAGTTTCTTTACATTTACAATACATGTAGTTACATTTCATTACCCATAATAGAAAATAACTTATTATTTCATACAAGTACTTAGTTATTATAGGTAAGATATAAATTACATATTGCTGCCAGTGACGGATCTAGTATGGTGCCAACGGTGGCACCGGCAACGCCTAGTTTTTCCCGACGTAGTGCAAAATTTTCGATTTTTTTTCTTTTTTCTACTATAAAATGTGCCACCGGCAACACCTACTATGGATCAGCAACACCTATTACGGACCGGCAATACCTACTACAGAATCCTGCGTCCGCCCCTGATTGCTGCTATTAGTAAAGAAACGTTAGTAAGTTAATATTATGGGTAAAAAGCAAAGTACGTTACCCATATTAGGAACAAGAGTAAAGTAACATGTCATTCCCTATAATTTTCCATAATAAACATGAATCACTGTCTATGTCTTGCAGGAGGTCGAGCGGATGATCCCTCCTAGTTTCAGAAAATGTAAGAACAACGATGGAGAGGAACCATACGACTTATTTACAATAAAACATGAAAAACTAGTTAAAAAAGGCGAGAATTGGATGAAGAATACAGCTTCTCAGTGTATGGTGGTGGCAACGCTTATTGCAACCATTGTATTCGCTGCTGCTTTCACACTTCCTGGTGGGTACAACCAAGACACCGGGATCCCATTTTTCCAGCAAAAACCAACCTTTATTATCTTTGTGATCGCAGATGCATTTTCTTTAGTATTCTCTTCAACCTCGGTCCTTGTATTTCTCTCTATCCTCACATCTCGTTATGTTGAACGTGATTTCTTGGAGTTGTTACCGAAAAAGCTGATGGCGGGTCTTGCGACGCTTTTTCTTTCGATCGTGTCCATGATGATTGCTTTTGGTGCAAGTTTTTTTTTACTTTATAAGGAGCATTTTAGATGGGTGCCAATTATTCTGTCCAATTTGGTTGCGTTGCCGGTGATTCTATTTGCGATATTGCAATTTCGTCTTTTGGGGGATGTGTATCACTCGGTGTATGAATCTAGGCATCTCTTTAAGCCGAAGAAGCGCATGCTTTACTATTGAAATCTTAGTAGAAGCGTCAACCAACCCTGTGAGGTTCCATGTTATACTCAAATATTGAACCCAAGAGCTCCTTGTAAAAAGTTCACTACCTAACTAGTCGGTTCCCATTATACCCTCTATTAAAAGCATTGTAATGGTTTATTCCAATACATACTATAATAAGCGTTGTCATTTTAGGCATTTTTTTTATTAAGTATTTTTAAAGTTCCAAATTTCAAAACATACTTTTCATTTTCTGAAGAAAGTATAAAGTCAATCTTCATTCCTAAAGTGATATAAAAACTCATTTGTTATATATTCTAAAGAGAATTTCCAAAACATAGTAATAACATAAAATCCAAAGATATTTGTAACAAAATCAGTAACGATGCAAGTGCGGTAAAGTCAAGTTGGGCCCTTAACACGATCAGTAAAAGTAGTTGTCAATCAACAACTATTAGCAGAAAGCTTGGTGATTTTGTTAAGAAAAAGTGTGGCAAGCATGGCGACCTGTTCACCATACCTTTATATTATCTAGTTGATAATGTGTATGTAACGTCCCAAAAATAAGACTCGAAAATTTCATTTTTAAATTAATAAAACAATAAATGATATCATTTTCATAAAACCAAGGTAATCAAAGTTTTATCAATACATCATCATTATTAGAGTAAATCATAGAAAGCGAAACCGAGTGGTGTATGCTCTACAATCATCCTAAGCTCTTCTTTTTGAAAACATAAGTATCTGAAACATAAACTGAAACCGTAAGCACAAAGTTTAGTGAGTTCCCCAAAAATATCACATACCAATAATACATAAATAAACACATAATGGGTCCCGCCTGACATCAAGCCCCGCTCGTTACACACATTTGTGAGTCACCGGGCGCCGCCCATATAAAACATATAAATATATAAACATACAAACACATGCGAAAATCACAAAGTTAATAGCATATTGTACAATCATTGGACCCCACCCACTGAGTATAACGGGCCCTGCCCAAACTCGCATAACGGGCCTCACCCACATACAAATCATATAGACAAAACCAAATACTAGCATACAGAATAATCATCGGGCCCCGCCCAGTAAGCATACAAGGACATACATATGCAAGAGTCACACAGACCTCTAGCACCCTACATAACAGACCATGGGCCGTCATTGGTGTCTTCGACACGCTAAACACAGTGACGAAACTCACCTCGGACAGCTGAAACGCACAGATAATTTATCTAGCTGCAGATCCGTTAAAATCCTCGCACTATCAATCACAAAATAACATCCAATTAATAATTGGATCCTGACTCATACTAAGAGTCCAAACAAGGGTAAAAGATCCATTTTACCCCTTACGTAACTTGACCAAAGGCCAAATCCCACACCAACTATCCAAAAAGGCCCAAATTCCAAAATGATCACCTAAAGCCTAAATATGGCCTAATTCTCCAAATTGGGCCCAAAACCCAAATCAAAATCCTGAGGCCCAATATGCTAGACAATAAACCCAAATCAAAATCCTGAGGCCCAACATGGTCCAAAAATCTACGATTCAAACTCTACAACGGGTTCTCATGTCGTGACCAAGCCATCGTCACGTCGTGAGGACCAACTTAAATCAGCCCCGACTCAGCGAATCAACTCAACTTATCCATAAAGATTCCAATCCTCGTCACATCGCGACCCTACCTTGATTCACGTCCTGACCTAATCCAGAAAAAATAGACAGGATGACCAACTTCCTCACGACGTGAAAGTCCTAAACCTCACGTCATGAGATCAGAACAGTCCAACTTAAAACATTAAGCCCTTAATCCTTTCATCCATAACGTGGGACTTTCCAGGGGGTCTTCCATTACCCAAAAGATGATAAAAATCGAAGTTTTTGAGTCATGCATGTCTAATTCATGACTCAGACTCTTAATAGACCAAAAGTGGGGAAAATGAGATCTAGACTCAAACTTGGAGTCCCAAACTTCACCAAAACTCATATTTGAAGACTATAATGAAGAGAATGAGTCAATGATCCATAAACATGCCAACTTTACAAACCCTGTGCAAGCAATCCCACCCAAACATTCAAAAAGGAGCTTATAACTTAGATCTACCAATTTGAGCTCATAAAGATTGGATCGTGGATACTTACAATGGTCCGAAATGTGCACAAGATGATGATGATGATGATGATGATGATGAAACCTTCTTGCTGAACCAACACTCTAGAACCTCTTCTCTTCTTCTTCTTCTAGCCACCAAAACGCTAAAATGGATCCAAAATCACCAAGATGGATTAGGGTTAGGGTTTTCCGAGTTAGGGGAAGGTGGAGGCTGAGAAATGAACCCTAAAATTGAGATAAAGGGGCTTAAATACGTGGGAAACTCTAAAACTTCATGGTCTTGGGCTGCAACGCTCCTCACGTCGTGAGCTCTTATTGCTCACGTTGTGAGCTCAATCCCGGTTAAAATCTTCATGCAGCCCTCCTCACGTCATGAGCCTCCATGCCTCACGTTGTGAGGACCCATTTTTCACCAAAATCTTACATTTTGACCATCCGAGATCCTAATTTGATTCATCCAAGGAAACAAATATTATAGTGTACTATGTGTAACAACCCAAATTTATAGAAAATTTTAACTTTTATAATCATAAATACCAACCACAATGGTTTCCAAAAATCCCATTACATGAACATAGTGTTTTAAAAGATTAGAGTATCAAAACTAAATGCGAAAATACTGGAGAATGCAAGTCGCGCCATCAAGCCGGGCCCTTGCCCTTAGAACTAGACGTACCTGAAACATCCAACAAAACTGTAAGCACACACTTAGTGAGTTTCCCAAACCACAAGAAACATAAAATCACATAATGTCATGCACACATGCATATAATTTTTCCATGGACCCCCTCCATGGTCTTCATTTGGAATGCCATGGGCTACCCCCATGGTCTTGTATCCCTGAACCATGGGCTCCTCCCATGGTCTTCACATAAGTCCACATATAGATCAAATAGCAAACAATTACATGCACCATTACTAATCATCTCATATCAATTAATGGGTCGGCCTTGGTGCCTTCGACCCATGAGTGTAGTGAGAAGACTCACCTCAGTCTGCTGAACACAAAAGCTGCTCACCTAACAGTCTGAAACCACACATTGAACAATGATACAATTGACCCTAAATTAGGATTATAACAAAACATAATCAAGGAGTCTGAACACCTAAGCCTAAGTCCTTCCATAGTGGCCCAAAAGTTGTCCCTTTGCTAATGGGCTTAAGATCCAAGATAAAAGCCATTAAACATAATATCAGCCCAAAAAGATAAATGGGACCAGGCCCAAAACTGAATAAGGCCCAATAATCTTACAAGCCCACACAAAGCCCAAACCCAACTGGAGTGTGTAAGCCCTACGTACCACTCGAGTACGCTTAGTGTACCAGGCCCTTAAGTTGTATGCGCTGCGTACACAATATTGCATACAACGTACAAGCATGGCATGCATCAATCGACCATTAAGTGCTTGATACTTGGGATTTCAATGTCAAACGTTAGATCTGAGTCCATTAAGATTTCCTAGGGCATAAAAGTTGGCAACTTTATGCCCTTGCATGTCATGAGTGACCCCAACACTTCATTCTTCCCATTAAGACCTCATTTAAGAACTTTAACTCACGCATGGAGTCAAAACAACCTTAAAGATGGCACTTTTATGCAACAAACATGCTTATGGAGCTTAGATCTAGCAATCCTAATCTCTAGAGTTGCTCAACTCACAAGAGAATGTCTAAAAGCTAAAAGGGGACTCCATAACAAAACCCTATCTCAAACAATCAAAAGAGATGACAAGGTCGTCACTTTATGCCTGCAGAAGTTCTTTAAGATCAACCATATACATGATCTAGAAGCTCAATGACACCCAAGGCTTGATCACGACCTTCTCCTTCTTGAATGGTCTTTAAAATGGCCACCAACACACTTTCTAAGCTCAAGAATCATACTCACAAGGAAATTTGAGGTTAAGGGACGAAATGAGGCTATGGAGGTTGATTAGGGTTTGGTCCAAAAGACTTAAGGACGTTTATATAAGTCTCATGCCCGAATATTAGGGTTTTGATCTTCAGTCACGTACGCCTTGCGTAACCCCTTGGTACGCCCAACGTACTCCGCGATCAACCATCCCTAGTACGCTTAGCGTACTCCTTAAGTACGCCCAGCATACGAAGGGACCAATTTTGCAATAAACTTTCATACTAAGGGTAAGAAAAGTAAATACCTAGATCCCGACCGTTACACTATGTTTAGCTATAAATAAACGGTCTTGGTAATGTCCAAAAGTGTGACTGATTTACACATATTCTTGTAATTTGCTTGTTGAAATACAAGTGTATTTATCTCCATCCATACTTTTGTTGTTCATCACATACTAACTTTGTGATTGCATGTAATCTAAGTAACGATTTAACAAATTACTTTTATTACATACATATGTTTATTTTGATATATTGTTGTTTTGTTTTTTGATTTGAACTATTCTTAAATTTCACATATATTATTGTTGAGCTAACTAAAGATCAATGAGATTAAGTTAATTACATATCATAATCTCCATCACTAAGCTCTTCTGTCAACAATTGGTATCAGAGTCATAGTGGTTACTTTTTAACTTTTCTTAAAAATTGCTTCAATCTTTTTGTAACGTCCCAAAATAAGACCCAAAAATTCATTTTTGATTTAATAAAACATTAATCTAAACATTGTCATACATCCCCAAAAGATCAAAGTATGTCACGAGATCAAAACATATCAGAGTAAATCTCAAAATGCAGAAAAAGGTGGTGACTACTCTGCAATCATCCCAGGCTCTTCCCTTTTGATCCTGAAGTACCTAAAACATAAACTAAAAACCGTAAGCACAGAGCTTAGTGAATTCCCCAAAATACCACATACCATACATAAACAAGAAGATAATGGGCCCCGCCCAATGAGTGTATCGGGCCCCTCCCACGCTCGCATAACGGGCCAGCCCACACTCACATAATGGGCCCCGCCCACTGAGTTTAATGGGCCCCGCTCATTGAGTATAATGGGCCCTTCCCAAACTCGCATAACTGGCCCCGCCTAACATACAAATCATATAAGCATATACACATACAAGAGTCACACATATATCTAGTATCCT